CATGCTCATCCTGCTAAGTTTCCATCCATCGGGAACTTCACCGTCGATTATTATTTTGCTCACTGCCTCTCTCAAAGCCCGCTTAGACTTCGGACCTAATGTCTTTATCAGCCTAATTGGATTGCCATCTGGGCCTGTTGATGTGCTACTAGGAACCCTTTTCTCAGCCCTTTCCCACTCTCGTTGTGAAAATTGAGCAATTGCACCACTTGATTCGTCCTTGTCTATTGTGGTGCATAAAGTACTTCTTTGTTTAAATTTTTCTGTCACCCTTGTTCTGATATATTCAATAGCTTCGTCCCCTTCTAGCCTGGCACCTTGGGCTGTAGTTATAAAACTCTGCTCTAGGCTCGTCTCATTTCTTAGGGAGTTTAGATGGTTCCAAAATTTCGCAGCTGCCTTTCTATCTTTTTTATGTACTTCTGCCAGCCACTGGGCTCCCTTTCTTCTAATCTTTTCATTGATCAGAAGGGATGCCTAAGCCGGGGAACCTAAGAGCAGCGACCTCTGGAGGTGAGGCCACTGTTGATCGGCCGTTACAAGGCCCTCCCCCAACTGCCTGCCGACATCCGACGACATTCTTCCGCCGACGCATGCCATCGACGACAAACAAGTCTTTGTTCCTATCTCCATTCTTGTCGACAACTACCCGGTATCTACTTTGGTATATACGTTTGCCGATTATTCCGTGATAAGTGCTGACCTCGCTGCACAATTGCGACTTTAACGACACCTTAGGGACATGAATCCAACTTCTAGACTGCAGGAGTTCACCTACGAACACCACTGGTAATATGCACTACCCGGCTCCAAATCCATGAGTCGACATACATATCTTCTTTCGCCGTGTTGCGCGGATGCTCCCAAAACCTTATTCTCGGCATGAACTTCATCCGCGAGCATGGAGCGGGTATTAACCTTCGTGACCTGCTCATAACGTTCTCTGGCGAGCATACCGCTACACAAAAGAATACAGCTGTGCCGACCTGAACACTTCGAATTACTGACGACACATTTCACTTCCGCCAAGAGCGAGTATGTTGGTAATAGTGGAGAGTGACTGTGACAACGAGAGTAGTGGTATCGCCAAAACTAACCTCTCTGCGATCTTGGCTCGGCAGATTTGTGTCGCGTGCACTATGGTCAACTGAAACGCCGGAGGGCTCAGCTTTTGATCACAAATTTCAGCAGCGAGTACTAGCACTTGACAAAGCGAACACCGATCATGAACTTCGAAGCCATTGATGACGAAGAATGTTTAATTATCTCCCCGATTGCGACTGCCATCGAATGTGATACTGCATTAGCCTGTACTATTGACGTGCGTTGCCAGCTATCCTCTTGCAGCAGATACGCATAATTTGACGTAAGTGTAGTGACTGCTTTGCATCCACCTCCAAAATCAAGCAGACCTCAACCATGAAGCACCGTATTAGAACGGACCCTACCGAACGGCCTGTATGACAGCACACCTACCGCGTTTCGTAAAAAGAACCGGAAGCAATATGTTCCCAGGTGAAACGATGCTCAGCGACGACGTCATCCAACTCTCGATGAGTCCATGGGCGTTGCCCGTTTTACTTGTTAAAATAAAGACGGCACTCTTCGAATTTGTGGGGAGAACAGGAAACTCAACAAAGTGACAAAGAAAGACGTCTACCCTCTCTCACGCATAGATGACTTACTCGATCGGCTTCGACGTGCCTGAAATTTTCATCAATGGATTTGCGCAGCGGCTACTGACAGATCGGAGTAGATTAACGCGATAAAAAAAACAGCGTTCATAGCTCCCAATTTGGTTTGGTTTTGGAAAACTTTATTGTGAAAGTCAGAAGGCGTGCATCCTAGCACACGGCGGGCCGCTGCCACGATGGGACAGTATACGGCCGAGACAAAGCTACGCATCCTGGACCCTCTGGACAGCCCAAAGTTGCGATGTTATTCCGGACTTCGAAGAGCGGAGTCCCACTTTCTGGACGATGCTCTATCGGTGCCGCGTAATGAAGGGCATTCGCAGAGCATGGGATGCAAGGTGGCTAAAGCGCCACACTTTGCATATGAATTGGTTAAATAAACCTCAGAGTAAAGCTTGTGGAGAAAATTGCCTCTAGGAATTCAAAGTGCTTCCGTTTGGATTGTGCTCTGCACCGGCAACGTTCCAAATAATGATGGACACCATGCTATCCGTCTGAAGTGTGAATCCTGCTTCGTCTATTTAGACGACGTCATTGTTCTTCCAAAACATTTGGGCAACATATACAGTGACTTCAGTCCGTCTTCGTCGCAATCCGATTCGCAGGTCTATCACTATTACCGCAGAAGTGTTATTTCGGCTATGAGGAACTAACGTTACTCGGCCACCTTGTTAGTCACGTTGGCATTCGATCACATCCAGAAAAGACCGTGGCTGTTGCTAAATTCACCGCCCCTTCGAACAAACAGGATTTGCGCCGATTTTTTTTTGTCTCTGCGCATACAACAGACGCTTTGTGCAGAGCTTCGCTAATATCACTGAACTCCTTACCCGCTTAACGAAGGAGGATACTCATTTTGTATGGGGTCCCGAGCGGAGAGCCGCTTTTTCTGAGCTCAACAGCGCCTTCAGACTCAGCCCTTACTAGGGCACTTTGATGAAGATGCCGCCACCGAACTCCGCACTGACGCAAGCAACAATAGTCTTGGTGCAGTACTCGTCCAGTGGCAAGATGGCACCGGGCGTCCCATCACTTATGCTAGTCGCATTCTATCATCTGTGGAAACTAACTACTCCATCATGGAGAAGGAATGTTTTGCTGTTGTTTGGGTGATATCAAAGTTTCGACCGTATTTGTATGGCCGTCCATTAGGGGTCGTTACGGACCATCATACCCTCTGTTGGCTGGTTAATCTCAAGGACCGTTCACGATGCGTCGTGAGGCGGAGCTTGCGCCTTCAAGAATTTGAAGTAACAGTTGTCAACAAGTCTGGCTGCAGCCACACTAATGCCGATTGCCTTTCACGCGCTCCCCTCCCAACGACATCTAGTAATTATGGTGTCGATGACCCCTTTCTTCGCGCAGTCAGTGAATCTGACTTGGCCCAACAGCGAACTGGTTCAAAGCTTTGACGACATATCAAACACCATGAATGTCAGCACTCGAGTGCACCACCGGTATTCCCACGTTCAAGATGATTTTGTTTCCGCAACAACATCCTCTACAAAAAGAACTTCGAACCTTATGCTACTGAATACCTGTTCGTCCTTCCACCAGGGCTAAGTGCTGAAATTTTATCTGCCTGCCACGATGAGTCTTTATCTGGTCGCCAAGGATTCGCACGCACCCTTGCCCGGATTCAGACTCACTACTACTGGCCAAATCTCACCCAAGATGTCAAGCATTACGCTAAAACGTGTAACTATTTTCAGCGCTGTAAGTCCCCACCTGTGCGCCCTGCTGGTTCATTGCAGCCTGTTGCAACCCCATTACAAACGTTTGAACAAATCAGTATGGACTTGCTTGGGCCGTTTCCAAAGTCACATGATGGCAACAACTGGATTGCAGTCGCTACTGCCTATTTAACAAGGTACTATAACAATGTACTCACTATAGAAAGCCCTACAACGAGACAACGCCCATCAGATTGCATATTTTTTAATGAAGAACATCATCCTCCAGCATGGATTGTCAACAGCTCTTACAACTGACCATGCAACAGCCTTTAGAGCCCAACTGATGCAAGAAGTCATAAGGCTTAGTGAAGCACCTCATCGCGAAACGACCACATACCAACCACAAACTTAAGGTCTGATAGAGAGAATAAACAAGACGCTCGCTGACATGCTGTTCACGTACGTCGACCGCGATCACAAAAACTGGGATGAAATTTTGCCATACATAACGTTCGCCTAAAACACCGCGGTTCAAGATACTACAGGTTTCACTCGGTTCCAGTTGCTTCACGGCTGAGAAGCAATTACGATGCTAGATGCCATGCTCTTACATGACATGACCGATATTCCTACTGATGCGAACGATTTTATCCGGCTCGCTGACGCGACCTGCCAGCTTGCACTCGAGCGGATTCGCGAACAGCAACATATCGACTCGCAGAGGTACAACTATCATCATTGCCATGTTATTTACCAACCCGTTGATCTTGTTGGCTATGGATTCCCGTTCGCCAAAGAGGCCACTCGGAAAAGTTACTTCACCGCTACTTTGGTCCTTATAAAATACTACGGCCCTTCACAGACGTCAACTAAAAAGTCCTACTTGAAAATGCAGCTTCGCGATTTCGACGTGCCCGGCAGGCGGACATTGTTCATTTGTCACGGATGAAGCCATACTACCCCGAACCACCTGACACTGCTTCACTATGCGTCTTTGTACTTGTATGCGATTGCTTTCACTTTTAACTGTCGTTGAGCATCAGGGCGGTACTGTGTTTGGAAGGAGGGTTGCCACAGGCATGGAACGAGATTGAGCCATGCCAATGCTAGTATATGCCATTGTGACAAAAAAGATGACTGGTTGTTGTGCTCATGGTCTGGTGCCTGGTTCGGCTCCACTTCCAGTGCTGCTGCTCCTGTGAACATACGTCGTGTTCTACCTATAATCTCGTGACAATTTGATGTGCAGGGAATTATTGAAATGTTTCTCGGTTTTATCATGAGCATTGCCGCTTCGCCCCACTCATCATCACTCACATCATGAAGATGGTGGGATTTATTTCACAGGAGCTGGGGCCTGCGTCTCCCCTTTTGATGTGTGTTAATTTTCTAAACACGGACTGTCGCTACAGCCATCACACTTATATATGGTGAAAGGTGTCAGCGAAATTGTGCCAGTATATTCTCGTGTTTCAATAGGTACAAAAGCAAGTCATCATAATCATCTCCTTACAGATATTACTCACTTCCACCATAGGAACGCTTTCATGTAATTTAGCGCCGTAGGCTAGTAGTTCGACAAATGAGGACACAAATGAATTACTGAATAGCTGTCCTCAAATATACGTGCCTGTCGGTCCAGACGCCATAAGAAAGCTCCACAAAGGCGAAGGACAAGTTCAGAGCCAAGAAAAGCAGAAGGTTCCGCGTCGTTTTGTCAGTCACCAGAGCACTGCGATAAACACAACATTCGAACGAGGTTGCTGATGACATTTTACGAGTGTCATCACTGGAGCGTAAACACATTTCTTATGATAAACAAGTAGTGCTGAATGAATGGGCACACCAGAAGAGGGCAAATAACACAGTCAATAACACTGGCCCACTGATATCGCATGAGGAAAACACCACATGGCATATGATGATCACAAAAAGTAATTTCCTAAAAGCGGCACCTCTTTTTCGAATACAATATGCGACGGAGCGCTGATGCACACTGAACCCAGGGATTACACAGCCACATTCTCCACAATATTTATCTTAAGCTTCTCATGCATGTTGAACACAGTATACACAAGTCAAAAAGTAGTGACCATCCCGCTTTTCCGTAATTAATTACCGCCGTTCTCAAAATTTATTGCCTGTGCGCATCACACCTCATGTGGCGTTTATTCTCGGGCAATTCCTATTAAAAAAAGTCCACCATAAGAATGGCGGTTTTCACCATCCACCATTTGAGTGGATTATGGTGCTGGAAATATTAATGGCACATGATGGATGGTGGCACATGGTGGATGATGGAGTGTCGGCGATGCTGGAGCGCGAAATGGCGTCAGAACAACCGTGACGAGCTGCCACTAAAATCAAAAGAATAAATGTATAGAAAAGAATGCAGAACGAACCCGTAAAAGAAACTGTGACCACAAAAATTCGAACGTGCAATCTTAGGATATTCGGCTGAACGCGCCATGCCGATTTGTGTTAGGTTCATTGTTAAGTCGCGAGTGAACTCACAATTTGACCATTCAACTTCAGTTTTGTTTGTTGCTTACTTCCGATAGACGGGATCTGCACCTACTACTTATACAGGTACGTTCATTAGGCACAAACAACTGATGTCTAGAACAATGTTCACTGCAATAACGGTGACCGCGCAATGGTTTCTTTTACAATTCACAAGCGAAAAAAAAAACCAAGTGGACTGAAGACCAGGTACAGTTTGCCGGCGGTTACTGTCAAGTTTATTATCTGTTTCTCGCTCGTACTAAAGGGCAACATCTGCTCAGGATTTATGATGCCTCAAGGCTCATTTGATAGATAAGCCCACACAAGCGATATAGTAATGCGATGTTTTTCATGCAACGTACATCGCAGTCGTGCCAGCACAGTGATATAGCTCTATCGTTAGCAATAACTACATAACAACATGGCCAAAACGACTGCAGTGTGCAGGAAACATTATGCTATTTTATTGGTTCAGTAAGCATACGAATAGACAATTCTGTGTTCTCGCATAAAAGCCAGAGAAGAGCCGGCAATTGCGACCGGCGGCTGTCGGATACGGGAGGCGTAAGTTTTCATAAAGCACTGGCACCGCGTCGCATCAATGTTTGTCGCATCTTACGCGGACATTGCACACAATAAAAATGCTTCATTTAGGGTAAATTATGCCACGGCTGTGTTTGATTGTGGTTCTTACTCATCGAAATTGTGTATTCTGAAACCTAAAAGCGCCGATAACACTTGTACGGGCTCGGTCGGTAGGCCTAACCTTTGGGGAAAATTATGGTGGTAGGACAGGACGGTGAAAATCAAACTCGCTGGGACTCCTCTCGACGTATGTCGAAGTAGACGTTTATGCATTTTAGCGTCGCACGCACTTTGTTAACATAAAAGTACGGCTCCAGTAATTGGGTCTGCGAGAATTGCCAGAGTTCTGTTTCTAGCTTGGTGGCATCAAAAAACCGCTGTATTCTTAACTACCGTTCAAAGAAGTCATTGCGAACTAGAGCTCATTTATTTCTCGACAACTGCGCGGCGATTTACCACAATTATTGTTGCTGTTCACAGTGACACCTTCAGTCTTCTAAACATCACAACAAAGCACCACATCACGCGTGCCAAACAAATGTGTGCGTGCACGAAATGTAAACATTCACGGCGACCTTCTACGCTCCACAAAAACTGAAGTGTCGTTGACACCACAAGAAATAAAAACGTGCTGCAAAGTGTCATTAACGGTGTTGGTTTCTTTAGACCATAAAATATTTCTCAGAATGTTCCAGAGTGAAACACTACAATAATTAAGTAATTTCAGATACTGTCATGTGCTTTTTCATGATGCCACTATCATTAACCTTGCTTCCATCATACTACCGGCATCCACCTTGTTAACTAAGCCATCCACCAAACACATTTTGAATCGCCACTGGCATTTCCCACCGGCGCCACCAGTGGCTTGCCACCGCCACCCTCATCTGCCACCATTTTTTTCACTCTCACCGTCATGAACTGGCATTTTGCGCTAGCACCACCATTGGGTCGCCACAACCACCACCATTTGCCATTACTTTTTCCACTCTCACCGTCATCAGCCGTTATGACCACTATAGCTTCCACCATATCCACTATCATTTCCACAATACCCACTGTCAGTTACACCATATCCCCAACAACACCAGCATCCACCAACCCATGATTTTTAATACAGATATAGGTACGCGAGGGTGGTAATAAACATTATGTTGGAAGTTAGCGCCTTTGTTGTGTGTCCTCATCTTGTGTCCCCGCCTATTCATCACTAATTTCTTCATCATCAGTATGAACCAAATAGCCCGAATTTCAACACTGCACACATAATTTCTTTTGTGGCAGGTACCTCTTGATAATGTTTAGTGGGTAATGGCAAAGTAAATAAACAGATGAACAAAATATAAAAGTAGGAGAGAAGGTACCTGTAAATATTAGGAAAAAATATGTCTTTACTCGGTATCTACAAGTATTCCCTCTCCTATTTTGATATATTTTACAACTTTTTGATTCAGTTCAGTAGCCGAAACGCTCTTGGCAAGTTCTACACTGGCTTTACAATTTTATGTTTAGTATGCGCTTATATATATATATATATATATATATATATATATATATATATATATATATATATATATATATATATATATATATATATATATATATATATATATATATATTGTAGCGATGCTGAGGCAGACAGGCCAAAAAAACAAGCAACTTTATTAGGGCGAACTTGTGCCCACAAGTCTAATGACTATTGTCGTCGAGTCCAAGTAGCCGAGAGGCACAGAGTCAACTAACTTCCTCTTCCTCGTTGTTGGAGCGCACGAACGCGTGACGCATGCCAGCCGGGTCTTGCTGGTGCTCTTGCCATGATGATTGCGGCGGCTACTTGAACGTGGCCAACCTGTCGCGGCATTATCCCCCCCCCCTCAGACGCATCGTCCCGATGCTTGAGAGAGTAAAATGATACATGCGCCCGCTCACTCGTTTTCCGACGATCTGTCATGATAGGGCTTCATGCGGACTACGTGTACCACTTCCGTGGTATTGCGGCGTCTTGAGCTCACGTGTCCCGCGGATCTGACTTCATAAGTGACGTCGCTGATACGGTTGACTACTTCATAAGGGCCGAAGTATCGACAAAGAAGCTTTTCAGAGAGTCCGCGGCGGCGCACTGGAATCCATATCCACACTTTGTCACCAGGATGATAAAGTGCGTCACTGCGTCGCTTGTTGTACCGACTAGAGTCGACGCGCTGTTGACGGCGTATTCGGTATCTTGCCATTTGTCGTGCTTCTTCGGCTCGTTGCAAGAAGTCATCTAAGTCAGGTGGATAGCTGTTTTCGTCCTGTAGCGGTAACATGGCATCCAGTGGGGTGGTCACTCTTCGGCCGAATACTAGTTCGAAAGGGGCAACGTGGGTTGTTTCTTGAACGGCTGTATTATATGCGAATGTTACGTAGGGTAATATTTCATCCCACTGTTTATGTTCAACATCGACATACATTGATAGCATGTCGGTCAGAGTTCTGTTGAGGCGTTCGGTTAAGCCATTTGACTGAGGGTGATACGCCGTTGTTCTTCTGTGATCGGTATTTGTCATGCGCATCAGACATTGCATAAGGTCTGCAGTAAATGCTGTGCCGCGATCCGTAATAACGACGATGGGCGCACCATGTCTGAGCACTATGTTGTTCACAAAGAACTTGGCGACTTCGGCAGCTGTCGCACTGTACAGGGAGTCAGTCTCAGCATAACGGGTCAGATAGTCTGTAGCTACGACAATCCATTTCTTGCCTGCACATGATGTCGGGAAAGGTCCTAGGAAGTCCATGCCGACTTGTTGGAATGGGGCATCCGGAGGGTCAATTGGATGGAGAAGGCCGGCTGGTTTTACGGCTGGAGTTTTGCGCCGTTGACATTGACGACACGTTTTCACGTAGCGCTGCACTGATGCGAGCAACTTAGGCCAATAGTACTTCAGGCGAATTCTGGCGAATGTTCGGCTCACACCCATGTGGCCGGACGTTGGCTCATCGTGGCATGCATGCAGAATTTCCTGTCGCATGGCTGTGGGCACGACTAGTAAAAACGTTTCGCCATTAGGTTCAAAGTTCCTCCTGTAAAGGACACTTCCTCGAAGGCAGAACGTGGAGAGCCCTCTGGAGAATATGCGAGGTACTTGAACGTCGAGACCCTGCAGGTGTTGTATAAGCGCCAGCAAATCCGGGTCATCTCGTTGTTGTTGAGCGATTTCGGATGCGTCGACAACGCCTAGAAACGGGAAGCCGTCCTCTTCAGGTACACTTGGATCGACGGGAGAGCGTGACAAGCAGTCGGCATCACTGTGTTTCCTTCCAGATTTGTATACGACCGTAATGTCATACTCCTGCAGCCTAAGGCTCCATCTGGCTAGTCCACCTGACGGATCCTTGAGATTTGCTAGCCAGCATAGAGCATGGTGGTCACTGACAGCTCTGAACGGTCTACCATAAAGGTAGGGTCGAAACTTATTTATTGCCCAGATGACTGCGAGGCACTCTTTTTCAGTAGCAGAGTAGTTTGCCTCAGCTTTTGAGAGTTTGCGGCTGGCATAGGCTAACACTCTCTCTTGACCATTTTGCCACTGGACCAGGATGGCGCCGAGGCCGACATTGCTGGCATCGGTGTGGACCTCAGTGTCGGCTGTCTCATCAAAATGGGCAAGTATTGGTGAACCCTGTAGCCGTTTTCTTAATTCATCAAAAGCTTTCTGTTGTTCATTTTGCCATGTGAAGGGCACGTCGTCTTTCGTTAGTTTTGTAAGAGGTTCCGCAATCGTTGAAAAGTTTTCCACAAATCGCCTATAGTAGGCACATAAACCCAAAAATCGGCGCACTGACTTTTTGTCTTTGGGTGTAGGGAACCTCTGAACAGCGGCTGTCTTTTCTGGATCTGGACGAACACCGTCAGAACTAATGACATGTCCAAGGAATCTCAGCTCTTCGAAGCAGAAGTGGCATTTTTCGGGTTTGATTGTCAAGTTTGCTGACCGGATGGCTTGTAATACAGTGCGAAGTCGCTCTAGATGTTTGTCGAACGTTGCAGAGAATACCACCACGTCATCCAAATACACCAGGCATGAC